CTTTTTGTCTTTTTGAATAGAACATTGTTCCTGGATTGTCAAGATCCAGTTTACTCCTTGTCAAGTAATAATTGCCTACTCTTAATGTCTTAATTATTTACTGTTCTAAGATGGATCTTACAAATTTGTTGTTGTAACAGTGAGTGTACCTGTTGGAGAAAGCATTGTCTAGATATTCTGTGTTTATTTTTGTACTTTATTTGGTATCACTCATATGAACTGTGCTGTACGGTTTTCCTCATTACTATACAAAATTAATTGTGCATTACTAACTTCCGACATACATAAACTAAAATGTGTCACTGAACCATTTTTCTATCCAAGTCTATTGGTATTAATGAGGATTTCGGAATTTACATTAGATATTACACTCAATTTAGTTAGATTTTTAGAATACATTCCATTCGTATGGAAACAATTTTCTTTCCATTTTCATCCCTTAAATGAAACTACTTTATTTTGTCAGTAAACTAGTTTTCGCCCTTGTTTTTCTTTTGTTTTCTAGGTTAAGTTCGAAGAAAATAAATTGTGAACTTTTCAATTTCACCGTTAAAAGAATGACAAAATTTATTTTTGTAGATTTAAGACATCTTAAGGTGTTTAATATTGCTTTGAAAGAGTTAACTGAAAACTATAGTGAGGAATTATAAGAGAAGTATGATGGGATTGGTTTGTAGCATAGCGTCGAGTCGCGGTTGACTATGATCACTACTACACTGAGACTACGTGCCAGTTATTAGGTTGGATCCCTTCGTAGGCAAAAAGCCAAAAGTCAGTTGACAGTTGTAATAAGATATATTTGTTGGCAATCTCGTGGTATCGAAAGAATACCGAGATCGTGCCAAAGAGTATAAGTGGAACTACTGAGCGTAACCGAGAGCGTGCAAGGTCACAGTCAACGGAAGAATGTATGCTTTTAGTGCAGTTAAACAAACAAGCACAGTAAAACAATTACTGGTACAATCGGTTATAATAATAATAATAATAATAATAATAATAATAATAATAATAATAATAATAATAATAATAATAATTGTTTCCATTATACCAATCGCCTCCTCTTGATAAAAGTAGGTCACTACAGGTTTTTAAGAGTTCTACAACTTCGTTTCAAATACATTGTGAAGTTTAAGTTGTCATAATATTAAGGCTTAAAAATACTAAACTAATTTTATCGTTACGTATTTTCTTCAAGAGCTTTAAATCACTAAAATTCTTTAGGTGAGAATTCTCTGAATGACGCTTGGAGTTTATCTCATGCATAGTAAGTTGTACATTTCAGTGCTTTCGCTTAATTGATATGTCTTTCCTTAATTAACTTGAAAGTCCATTATTCATTGAATTTCAAGAATTTCTTATCGTAAATTGCAAATCAAAATGAAAGGAAAGTCAAGTAGACACATATCTACATTGAGCATTTAAATTGTATCAATAAGCGATAAACAACGTATTGTGCATTAGAAAGTAGGAAATAATGAAGCTTAAGTTCATAGATGGCTATGTACCTAATGGAGAGAGTGATATTGTTCTCTGTCATCCAAAGGATAATTAAATACATTAGTTAAATAAAATCATCCAAAATGAGTCAAAGAATTCCAAAGAGTTCATGACTAAAGAAAACTGATTTTAATTAGAATGCTAAACATTCAATTTTATGGAATGGAACACTCGACTCTAGAGACAATATTTAGTAAAGATATGTTGGTTTCACTTCATGGATCTCGTAAAAATTGATAGAGATAAAGCAAGTATCTAGTGCGGTTGGAAAAATCTATGTGGGACCAACCTAGACATGGTTTCAGTTCATCAAGTCTCTGACTGTTGGTATGATCCATGCGGGTAAATGCAGACTACTTGGTTAGCGTTTGCGTAATAACCATAACTAGTGGTTGGAGACTTCGGGTAACATGGCTTATAATTGCTCATAATGACTCATATGTATTCATTCGTTATCTTACTATCGATCTTCAGTTTCGGGACTAATTCATGCACACCTTTTCACAGTCTTTTCTAGATGTATTTACAGTGTTTAGTCTTCCTTATTATTATTATTATTATTATTATTATTATTGCTGTTGCAAGATTTTTTCGATCTGTCCTGCTCTTTGACTTCCCGTTTTCATCTTGTCATGCTAGTGTGTGATTATAGCTTGGGCCAACATGAGTCTGTGAAGGAATTTATATTTATGATGTCTATCCGTACCTAAGTAAAACCGTGTTTTGTGACGGTTTGAGTTATACGATAATAGTGCTATTGATGTTATTTTTTAACCTTTGTAGCAGAAGGAATACTGTGCAAATACCTCCAAAATGACTTGTTGGAAAGCATTGTTATTTCTTCATTCTGCGTCGCCGCCTTGCATTTTAACTTCTACTCAAAACTCTTGTAACCTTTTTTCGTGTTTCTCAATCTTCGCTATCTAAGCCTTTATTAGTCGACTTTTGCTAATATTCACCATTATTATTTAACTTAGTCGTTGTATGATCCCAGAGCCTCGACAACAAGTTCGCGTTTGACTGATCTTAAGGTTAAGGTGCGGAACGGTTGATCATTGTTGACTATTGGTTGCCTGTTGAAAATATCCACTCTAATTCTTCCAGATAGATATTTGATCCCGTTTTGTTAAGAATACTCTTATTGATTCCCATGTATTGAACACGTATTTGTTAATTTTTCCTTTTACTGTTTAGTACGGTATTTTTTGTCAGAGAAACCTTCGATTGTATAGAAATAGCTGTGTCGTTTGTGGCGTTTGGTACTTTTGACATAACTTGTTTTTCTTGTTGAATTAGAAGTAATTAAATTAAGCACAATGTATGCGTTTTGATGTAACCTAATACGCCTGAGTCGAAAAGGCATCGTAAGCTACAAAGTGTAACGTAGTTTGGTCAGTTCGCATGGACTTTGTGTGGTATTAGTACCCCCTAATAATTCCTTTGTACCTGACTGCGCGCTTAATACAAATCCAAAATATAATTTGTTCATTTGTACTCATTTACTTCTACCTAACATAAATTGAACTATTGAACTAGTCAAATCATGAATAGTCGGATATTAACTTAATTGGGGATGACTTTGAAGACTACACAGAGTGGTTCGAAATCTGCTGCATAGCTAGGAAAGACACTAAGGACTATAAATTGACAGTTTGTGCCTTGAAGTTCATCGGCGAAAATACTTATAACCTGCTAGAGAACCTAGTTTTTCCAGAGGAACCAGTTTCATTGTCATATGAAACTCTCAAGGAACCACTATTTAGTCATTTGTGGTGTGCTAGTTTTGAATTCAGAGAGAAATCTGCTAATTTTGAAGAGATTACGAGTTCTGGATTGTAAACCGACTTGTCATTTTACTCCTTCCTGTATAGGGACTACGGGTAGATCAAAGGTATCCACAGGATGTCGAGCGGAAGTCTAGTTCAGTTGTTTCTTCCCACCTTTACCACGTACATGATTTGTCATGGCTTTCCGACCACACGTGCTTCTATGTAAGAACTATGCTTTATTCCGTAGTCCCAAGCGAACACCGGACATTCAGTCTCATACACTGGCAGCTTCTGGCGGTGGTGTGCTTCTCGAGAGCACCAGATTGTCGATAGTCCTCAATTCCCTTCCCATGGGGATCTCTGCCTGGGACTTCTGCTCCGGTAGTATATCATAAGATATCGTTCGGTAAACGAATAAGAAATTATGCAGTGTTCCAACTGGAGTCCCTCCCTTTTTCCATTTGATTGTAGCCCTCTTGAACGTATCCGCAAAGCTTTCTGATTGACTGTTTAGTTGTGGGTGCTAAAGTGGAGAGCAGAAATACCTGATAGATATCCGTTGGCGGAAATCGTGAAGCTGAGTAGAGGTGGACTGTGAATCATTGTCTGACACGATAACATCCGGTGTCTTGTTGTGGGTGAATGTCTCCGTTAAAAGTTGCATCGTTTTCGTAGTCGTTGGTCTCATGATGGTAAGAACTTCTGGCCATTTTGAATAGGCGTCAACTGCAATTAGAAAAATGGTTCTATCGATTAGACCGGCAAAATCGACTTGTATCTTGGTTCAGAGATACTCAGGCTGTGGTCGTAGGACGGGCAACACCTTCGCATTATACTTCATCGCGTTCTGACTCTCCATGTAACTGCCCATCAAATCCATGATGTGCTGGTCCATGGGAGGCCACTGAGCATAACTTCTGGCCAAAGATTTTATTCCCTACATGCTGAAATGACCAGTGTGGAACTGCTTTAGCACCTTTGATCGTAAGGACTCTGGCACCACCACTCTATCTCCAAACATCAAACAATCATTTACAACACAATGAGTCCCGATGGTGGTAAAGCCGCTCCATGTCACCATCGAGTTGCCTTGCTAAGACAAAGCGATAGCCTCGTTTCTAATCTGGCTGTACTTCTTTTCTGCCGGATATAATGTGTGGGACGCGTGCATAATAGCTTTTTATGTCGCCTACGTAAACTTATGTGAGATGACAGCACTGAATCCAAAAGCCAAATCGTCTTCAGCCTCAATGATTGGCATGGACGTATCGTAGTGTGTTGGTAACAGTTACGAGCTTATGATTGTCTCCCGCATTCAAGAAGCAGCTTACCACGTTTTCATCCAGTTGCAATTATTCTTCTTCTTCAGTAGACAGTTCAGTGGGACGCGGATATCATGCATCGACGGCATAAAAGCTGAGTAGTAGTTAATTAATCCCAGTAACATTGGTAGGAGTGTACATCAGTTTTATAACTCGAATGTTTTCAATATCCGGTCTGAAACCTGCAGCATCAAAGATGAAACACAAATACTCTACTGACCTCATAAAAAGCCGGCATTCTATGGACGTAAATGAAAAATGTTATCATTGATGTCTTGTAGTACGGCTGCCATGCATTCTCGTAGCTGCCCTAAAGAAATGGCAACTATTAAGATATTGTAAAGATAAGTTCCGACCCCCAGTAGTCCCGATAAAATGGAATCCATTGGTTGCTGTAAAACAGATGGTCAGTGTTTAATCCAAATCATAGACGATCATATTGAAACAAATTACGATTAGTAATAATGGTACGTAGCCCTCTTGATTCTTCAGCCACTTTCATCTGTAAATAGGCATCAACAAGGTCCAGCTCTGAAACGTAGCATAGTTGAAAAATCTTCAGGGTTTGGCAGTGGTGAATTATACTGTTCTAGAGCTGCGTTAAGGCCCGTGAAGTAGTCTGCGCATATTCGTGAAGCGCCATTAGCCTTTTTGATAACTACAATAGGTGCTGCCCAAGCAGAATAAGAAACAGGCATGATAACTACTCGGATTGGAAAGCGACCAAGTTCTTTATAAACTTTGAACATTGCAGCATACGGCACTGATCTCTTTGGACGAAAAACAGGTTCAGCCTCAGGTTTCAACAGAATTGGTGCTTTCATAACAGAACGTTGACCCGATACAAGCTGGAAAATGGTTGAAACCTCCGTGACTATCAGCTTCGTATATGCTATTAACAGATAGCATACGTGTTCAAACGGGATGTCAGATAAATGCAGCTACTCAAATCAAACTAAATATATGTAGATAAGCTGGTGTTTAAAAACATACCCATATGAATGTCGAAATTTTGAAAGACATAATACTAAAAATCTGTTTGGATAAAAGTTGATAATTACCATAGGCAGAGAGAGGTTTATATGCTGTCCATATCAAGCGAATGTTGCAGCTGCTGATAAAAACTATAGCGAGAGAACGGATATTTCTGCTTAACTGTTCCATTGAATTTAAAATACTTAGTTCTTATCATCGTATAAAAATTCACATGGTAAAGCATAGCTTTCAGAACTAGATATCCGCTTCTCAAAACGATGCTATTCGCAACATGGACCGTAGTAACCTGCTGGCTAAGTATGAGATTAAGAATAACTCGAAGATTTTTAAACAAATCGAATCTAAGGTAATGAGGGGAACCTGTAGAGCCGAAGAGGAGCGTCCATGCTCCAACGCGTGTCGCTGTTGACATCGACGGGTTTTTACCAAACTCCTTATCACGTGAGGACTCACCACGACAGCGGGTACAGGGACTTCCCCCTACTTTTACGGTGGCATCTAAAGAATTATGTCAACACAGTTCATAAGCTTTTACTTTCAGGACGCGAAGGCAAAATCGAAACCACACTGTTACTAAACTCACACTGACTCTCACCATTATTAGCTGTCCCATTAATTAATGTAGAGTTATTTATGTTCAGAAGGCAGTACCCATAAGTAGGTTTAGGAATAAATACAGTTTTACAGTCATTCTAAACATGTCAAATAGAAGGAGACTTTGTAGATTGCGTGAAATTTCGCAGAGACCTATCGCCATTTCAGTTTTTAAGCAGGCTAGAATTTATGCACAACGGTCTTCCAACTTTTAACCGTCTCAGTGTGTTAGCCACTACAGCCGCATTTACTACACGTGGTCCTGAGACCCTAATGAATACCGCGTTAAATGCATACGAAAACCTGATCTAAACAAAAACTTTAAGTAAAATACAGAGTGACAAGAAGAAAAGCGTAGCAAAATGGCATACAAGTACAAATACACTAAACACGCAGTCAAATCATAGACGACAAATATTCAGTCATAAATTAAGAATTCTTCATTACCGATTTTGGGCCATCTCTACTGGGTCTAGAAGACTTAGGAATGCTTCAGGGACGGCACTCCCCATTGACCACTGATGACGGCCCTAATGAAGTGCTTAACAACTTGCTAACTACAGGATCGAGGTGAGAACAACGCGTGACCCCAAAGCTCTATCATTTTCATTCGCAAGCAAGAAATGCCAAGACCATGTAAACAAACGTCCATTCTAATACTGCTGCGAAATCCAAAGATACGGCGAGGAGAGTAGACAAAGTCTTTTAGTGCAGAATTACTAGGCCATACGCAAAAGAAACAAGGATGAAATTGCTTAGACAAAAAAATCTTCGTACAAGAACGCCTTTTCCATAATCCACGAAAGGTCTGCCAAAACAGGCTATTAAGTCCATGGTTCATATGAAAGCCAGTCACAACAAGTGGATACGTTACAAGGACCAAGATGGGTCTGTTCCAATTTCCATTGTTAATTCTAGCACCAACAAGTACATTCTAGATCATGAAGAGATTATACCGAATACACAGGCGAACAGACGCATGATGGACCTAAGGAAAAGACGTACAACTGACAGCGGAAATCTGAATTTCCATTTCAGTTGTGACGGTTGTTGTATTTATACTCACTAATAATTTCTTCGTGCCTGATTGCGCGCTCATTGCGAATTTCAAATATATTACGTCCAGTAGTGCTCATCTAGTTCTATCTAACATAAATAGCACTAATTCGGGAATTCTTAGTTAACACACTAATTAGACTTATTCTAATTATCATACCTTGAGTCGTCGGCCTTCTTCATTCGGACCAAATTTTGGAATTTCGGTCGGCACAACCTCCTCTTGAGCCTTATCACCATATGCCACCGCTTGCAGGTGTCTATCGATATCTGTAACTCTACTTTTGTATCAGGACTTGCAGTATCCCATGACAAGCAAAAGAGTAAAGTGTGTTCATACATGGAGGGTCACAAAGTGGAAGATTCCAGTTTCAGGCATATCTTTTCGCTCTCCACGTTTGTGAGCGTCATGGAAGCAGATTACTTTTTTCCGAATTTAGAATGTTGTAACAGTGGATTAACAGTTGTTTCTGGTCATGTGATTTTCCAATCTGATTGTAAACTAACTTAAAATATTTACGCATGACTTTAGACGGCAAATGTGAGGTCCGAAGGACAAACTAACAATACAGATCAGATCGATTATGCAGATATGGTAGTCCTGTTTGATTTCTTACCATCTATGCTGTTTATTCTGTCGGTAGGATTGTGTTTGTCCTTCAAACGTTATTAAGAAATAGTCCGGCTGACTGATACAATAGGGTGATTCAGGATAAAAATATCATGTAACTTCGACGTTAAATAATGTGGACTAGGCAGACATATTATGTCCCATTAAATGTATTACGCAAGGACTAATAATCTAGCAACACAAATAATTTTCTTAGTCTGTATCTTTGTCCAAATTCAAACATTCATACACCTGGAGAAACGTAACCCCATTTCGGAGGCAAAAACAAACCATACTTAATTTTACCAAATCACATGTTAATCCGAAAAGAGGTCCATTTAGGACCAATTGTTTCGAAAGGCAACATTTGTTTTCTGAAGCCTCCGAAGTTAATGAGAGGGTTCATGGAGAGATTTACTATCACTTCACCCTTCATCTTTTATTTTAAATATATGCAACTTTCGAAAATTATCTTGATCTGTTACTAAAACTTGCTCAAACAGTAACATGCTACGTTTCCTCAGGATGGCAAACACGTAGGAAAATATGCTGCTGCTAGACTAAGAGACCTCTCAAAGTCGAACGAACGAAAGTAACAATAGAAATCAGAAGATGATAGCATTATCGCTTGTGTTATTAGACTACATAGTTTACAGCTCTTAACCTCCAAAACATTCGTTACTTTATGAACTTCCGAGTGCCTTATCTTAAGATGTTTCCTTTTGATGTATAGCAATATGTCATGATAATATCCTTTTTAGATCTTCCATACTGCATAGGTTGAAAGTTTAGTGCTATCATACGAGCTTACTGGAGTCCAGTTTTCGGCCTGATTGGCTTTTTGGATAACCTTCCATTGAACCATTTCCGGAGAAAAGATATCTTTCTCGTGATAGAAGACAAGGACTTCGAATTGCTACGGATCAGGTCATAAGTAATAATTAAAAATGGTTGTGAGCAGTTTGAGGATCAAGCTACCTAAAACTTTTAAAGAAACATCGAAATGGAGTATGGTTTATTAGCTAAAGGGTGTCAGTGAAAAGAAAACGCCGGGCAGGCCCTTATCTGTAGTAGTCGGATTCTGGAAGCACCTGGAAAGCAATGAGAATTCACACGACAAGTGTGTGCTCGTTCATCCATATGTACCATTGAAGTGTTTTGGAAGAGCTGAATTATCCGATAGACCTTGTACATCCGGAAAACTCTCGAGATCATACATATATTGGAGCCAGATAATCAAGGATGTCATACGGATTGTTAACAAGTAGCACGAAGAGTGATCAAAGGATGTAACTTTGTGATATTCCGTTTATAGTTGTAGATCAACTAAACAACTCATGACAAACTAGTAGCTCATTATATTCTGATTAATTGGTCTCGTGGTCACTTAATACAACCCTCAATAATTCCCGCTTATATGAATTCCATGCAGAATGTTCGATGACCGATTCCGTCGAACGTTTCTAATAGATCTAAGAAATATATGCGCTCAGAACTCTGATGTTGCTCCTGAAGTTTTCTTCAGTAACATGCTAAGGTCGTACGCTGCAGTACTAGTGTTTAATGGCCATTTATTTGTACACTGTTCCGCACCTGAATTGAATTGCAAAATCTATTACCTTCGAGTGTGATCAACAATATCGTTCTGACTTGAGTACAGTTGGTTCGTAATAACTGGAGCATTAAATAGACAGTCTTGGTGACTGATAGCCAGTATATTAAATCGATTTCTAATAATTATCCCAATCATATATCTGGAGAGCAGTCACACTAAACTTCGAACACAACAGAATTATTGAGTACACAGTTTCGGATGGACTCACTAAATAACGTTTCAATGACGCTCACAAACGTGGAGAGCGAAAAGATATGCCTGAAACTGGAATCTTCCACTTTGTGACCCTCCATGTATGAACACACTTTACTCTTTTGCTTGTCATGGGATACTGCAAGTCCTGATACAAAAGTAGAGTTACAGATATCGATAGACACCTGCAAGCGGTGGCATATGGTGATAAGGCTCAAGAGGAGGTTGTGCCGACCGAAATTCCAAAATTTGGTCCGAATGAAGAAGGCCGACGACTCAAGGTATGATAATTAGAATAAGTCTAATTAGTGTGTTAACTAAGAATTCCCGAATTAGTGCTATTTATGTTAGATAGAACTAGATGAGCACTACTGGACGTAATATATTTGAAATTCGCAATGAGCGCGCAATCAGGCACGAAGAAATTATTAGTGAGTATAAATACAACAACCGTCACAACTGAAATGGAAATTCAGATTTCCGCTGTCAGTTGTACGTCTTTTCCTTAGGTCCATCATGCGTCTGTTCGCCTGTGTATTCGGTATAATCTCTTCATGATCTAGAATGTACTTGTTGGTGCTAGAATTAACAATGGAAATTGGAACAGACCCATCTTGGTCCTTGTAACGTATCCACTTGTTGTGACTGGCTTTCATATGAACCATGGACTTAATAGCCTGTTTTGGCAGACCTTTCGTAGATTATGGAAAAGGCGTTCTTGTACGAAGATTTTTTTGTCTAAGCAATTTCATCCTTGTTTCTTTTGCGTATGGCCTAGTAATTCTGCACTAAAAGACTTTGTCTACTCTCCTCGCCGTATCTTTGGATTTCGCAGCAGTATTAGAATGGACGTTTGTTTACATGGTCTTGGCATTTCTTGCTTGCGAATGAAAATGATAGAGCTTTGGGGTCACGCGTTGTTCTCACCTCGATCCTGTAGTTAGCAAGTTGTTAAGCACTTCATTAGGGCCGTCATCAGTGGTCAATGGGGAGTGCCGTCCCTGAAGCATTCCTAAGTCTTCTAGACCCAGTAGAGATGGCCCAAAATCGGTAATGAAGAATTCTTAATTTATGACTGAATATTTGTCGTCTATGATTTGACTGCGTGTTTAGTGTATTTGTACTTGTATGCCATTTTGCTACGCTTTTCTTCTTGTCACTCTGTATTTTACTTAAAGTTTTTGTTTAGATCAGGTTTTCGTATGCATTTAACGCGGTATTCATTAGGGTCTCAGGACCACGTGTAGTAAATGCGGCTGTAGTGGCTAACACACTGAGACGGTTAAAAGTTGGAAGACCGTTGTGCATAAATTCTAGCCTGCTTAAAAACTGAAATGGTGATAGGTCTCTGCGAAATTTCACGCAATCTACAAAGTCTCCTTCTATTTGACATGTTTAGAATGACTGTAAAACTGTATTTATTCCTAAACCTACTTATGGGTACTGCCTTCTGAACATAAATAACTCTACATTAATTAATGGGACAGCTAATAATGGTGAGAGTCAGTGTGAGTTTAGTAACAGTGTGGTTTCGATTTTGCCTTCGCGTCCTGAAAGTAAAAGCTTATGAACTGTGTTGACATAATTCTTTAGATGCCACCGTAAAAGTAGGGGGAAGTCCCTGTACCCGCTGTCGTGGTGAGTCCTCACGTGATAAGGAGTTTGGTAAAAACCCGTCGATGTCAACAGCGACACGCGTTGGAGCATGGACGCTCCTCTTCGGCTCTACAGGTTCCCCTCATTACCTTAGATTCGATTTGTTTAAAAATCTTCGAGTTATTCTTAATCTCATACTTAGCCAGCAGGTTACTACGGTCCATGTTGCGAATAGCATCGTTTTGAGAAGCGGATATCTAGTTCTGAAAGCTATGCTTTACCATGTGAATTTTTATACGATGATAAGAACTAAGTATTTTAATTTCAATGGAACAGTTAAGCAGAAATATCCGTTCTCTCGCTATAGTTTTTATCAGCAGCTGCAACATTCGCTTGATATGGACAGCATATAAACCTCTCTCTGCCTATGGTAATTATCAACTTTTATCCAAACAGATTTTTAGTATTATGTCTTTCAAAATTTCGACATTCATATGGGTATGTTTTTAAACACCAGCTTATCTACATATATTTAGTTTGATTTGAGTAGCTGCATTTATCTGACATCCCGTTTGAACACGTATGCTATCTGTTAATAGCATATACGAAGCTGATAGTCACGGAGGTTTCAACCATTTTCCAGCTTGTATCGGGTCAACGTTCTGTTATGAAAGCACCAATTCTGTTGAAACCTGAGGCTGAACCTGTTTTTCGTCCAAAGAGATCAGTGCCGTATGCTGCAATGTTCAAAGTTTATAAAGAACTTGGTCGCTTTCCAATCCGAGTAGTTATCATGCCTGTTTCTTATTCTGCTTGGGCAGCACCTATTGTAGTTATCAAAAAGGCTAATGGCGCTTCACGAATATGCGCAGACTACTTCACGGGCCTTAACGCAGCTCTAGAACAGTATAATTCACCACTGCCAAACCCTGAAGATTTTTCAACTATGCTACGTTTCAGAGCTGGACCTTGTTGATGCCTATTTACAGATGAAAGTGGCTGAAGAATCAAGAGGGCTACGTACCATTATTACTAATCGTAATTTGTTTCAATATGATCGTCTATGATTTGGATTAAACACTGACCATCTGTTTTACATCAACTAATGTCATGTAAGCTGATTATTCAGAGAAGTTTTTTTTACCTTCCCATGTCAAGTGGCTGAGATTTCAACCGACTCTTTCTCTGGAATGAGTTATTAAAACTGTTACAGCTGCTGTGGTGCAAACATTGATAATAATTACTAATAATTCAATCTTTGGTATTATATGTGACTCGACAGATTGCTGGAGATATTTGGTAGCATTCAAGCTATATTTAAACTCCTGAAGGATTATCTTGAATGAAAAATGTATGTCATCGAGAGAATTAATTTCTTGAGACATTGACAGACCGCTAGTAAGCAGTTAGATACGTGACCTAGCTTATAACAGGAAATGTCTTCTTGTGAATTTACCTCGAAATCATCCATAGGTGTATTGATTTTGAAGTGTCCCACCTATATGCCCATGAAGTCTATCTGTGACTTTTATCACGAATGAAGACTTATTTTCTGTTCAAAGGAGTGATATTGTACTGGCTTTTGCTTTGTTTACAAGAACAGTTAGCATCGAAATACACGATAAATGCCTGACTGTCTTATTTTGTTTTGGTCTCTACCAATAATTGTTCCCAGTAAGGCTTGTATTTTGGATCGACCATAGCCGTAATTATGATAGTAAGTTTACGGAATCCAGTGTTTCTAGATTGAAGTTATGAACCCAACTCTCAAAGGAACCTTCGTGATCCTGAATAAATCTTCGTTTAGCGATTTCATTCCCATTTTAGAGTGCCGTATCACTGTTTGGTCATTTTATTGCGGTGATTTTATAAACACGTTTAGTTGCCAAGTGATATTAAGCTTGTTTGTTAAGCAAGAGGTAACGTTGGGATTACTAGTAAATTGAAATGCAGGGAGTATTTTTGTTGCAAACAGTTTGACTGGAGGGATCTTGATGACTCTTATACAACAGCTGATTGCATGGTTACGGGGATTTCCTCACAACCGCCCACTTGACAGTCTCTGACCTTAATGGCTCGAAGTTATATTAAGTCACTGAAATATCTGGAATAATAGAGAGGTTATCAAGACGAAAATCGTAACAGATGATGAAACAAGCGACGGAACCTAGTTCTCACTTCGTTTGCCAGCTGCCAAGCAATATCGAACGGTGTTGGTTGAAGTTCCTAACCGATGAAGCTGAGATGCTGATTAACTTACAATCATAAAATCTATTTCGGACTATGAAGCTTTTTAAATACCGGTTACCGTCATCAAATTGAAATTAAGCTAACTCGTTTCACCATTTATTCCCGGGGGTTATTCACTTCTACACTTAGTCCTATGGAATCACAAATTAGTAGTTACCGTCAGTCATTAATGCAGACCGTTTGAAACTCTGCTTTGTTGATAGTTCATACAAAGCTCCTTGAGCTGACATATGTGGGATACACAGAGTACTCTGCTAAACTGAAATACTTAGGCATTTTCGTATCCATACACAAACAAAAGTTCATCTTTGACTGGAGGATACAAATGAATGACCAGCGTCCTTCTACAACTAACAAGTAGAATGCTAGGTGTCGGAAACATACATGTTTCATCCACTAACATGAGATATTATAAAGTGAGCCTCACCAAGAACTGAATGTGAAAACCCTAAAAGAAACGTTCTCGAGGTCCTCTGACATCCTCTTGGTCCTTAAATACTTTTGAGTGAGAAACAATAGAATATTTATGTGAAACGACAACAGTTTCATCACTAATATGTAATCAGGCGCCAACAACATTAGACTTGAAGTGCCATATCTCTTCTATTGGGCAACATAGAAATAAAAATTTAATGTGGTAGATAACCATAAATTAGATAGTGTTTTAGTTGATCTGATCATAAGACTCTGGTGGAGATATTACATCAGTGACTACCCTGTTCATGATACACCATATCACTTTAGGAAAAGAATACACAATACAAACTGACGAACCACACTAACTACATTAGGTAGTAGCTGCCATTTCGCCGAGTCGTTAATCTAACTATTAGGAAGACTGACGTTTATGTGGATTGACACGGACTGCTGTCAGGTCAACTTTCTTCTGATGGCCCTGGATAGAAATTATCAGTGTAAGCTAAACACTCCCAGTCCTTTTTCATGAACTGTATGACCAATAATTAGATGATATAGCGTCATTTTCTAGACAAATCACAATCTATAGTCAATACTCCAGGAATAGATTAGGATAAATGAACTGAACCTAGCGTGTACGCTGAATTAGTTAGATTTTCCTTTGAGCCACATCTCCAATATATGTATAATAGGAACTAAGCGTACATCTACATCACAAATACCGATATTGATGCAAAGTTCATAACAAGTTGGTGGGAATAATAGGATAAAATCACTAACTCCGAAGGTAAAAACCTTTAAAAACTTTGTTTCGAGACCATTTTACAACCTAGAATAAGGTAGTGGATGTAGGCTACGCACAATACTTCAGTATGATGTTAGATTGTATATATAGTGGCAAGGAACATTTCTCATATTCACGAATTTGTAACGACCAGGGTTCAGAGACACCTATGAAGAACCGCAAACGATTTAGGAAAAGTGACCCAGTGACATCCTTAGTAGATCATATGTTTGAAAAACATTTTACTACATGCGATCAAATTAACGAATTAGTAATCCTAGTCCTCGGACATAGACATGTGCCTCGCAAATAAAGCTACATTACTTTCTCATCATCGCCGTTAGGAGAAAGTGACCATTTACTTGAAATTTCCACGAGTAACAAGCAGTAACATTGATGTTAATATTTAAAATATCGCATGGGGTTTAAGAATTTGTTGTACTAAAACAAAATGGAACACATGGTAGAAAATTTATTTCCACAATCAGTTTATACAGGTGAAAAAGTGAGGCAAAAATGATATAAAGAACGATAGGATTAAAAAAGACAGACAAATGTGCATATATGTTCACTATTTTATAGTCATATGAAAAGGGAGAATAGTGGGGAATCGTTGATAGATTGGTTTGAGAGAAACAATTTAATCAAAATACATATAGAATACGGTTATATATAAATGAGCTTAGAAGCCCCCATCTGGTTGACTGTTCATAAATGCTTCTTGAATCTCTTTCACCATTTTAATTCTATTAAGTATCACTTGCAATTCAGTTGGTCGAACGGGATTGGTTGAAAACCACAAATCAGATTGTGGAGGGTATAGTGGATTCAAGTAGAACACACTATCGGAATCCAGTAGTTCTGGGGGACTAGAATATAAATGAAATAGAGAATCACATGCAACAGTTATGGTTGCTATTATTATTAGTATTTGTGGTAATAGAGGAAAACAAATACTAAATGGGATAGCTTCTTAGTTGCTCTACACCAAAAATTGTATGAGTTATTTTGTCTAACTAAGCAACTAAATAAAATCATATGTTTCAAGTTAATGGACAAAACTGATAACTAAGAAATAAACTTAGATGGTTTCAGTCAGTCAGTCAGCTACAACGTAGGACCAGACACATATATGCATCGATTTCATTGCCGTACCGCATTAGCACAACAAGATAAACACCGGATTCATAGGAGTGGTTAAGTCAATGGTGGTAATATATAAAGGAAAGATTGCATATAAGTACATAGTACAGGAAGAAAGATACAAAGCAATTTTAGTCTCTTAGTTTAAGGGAAGACAGGGAGTGTGTATACACCGACGCCATTGTGATCGGTTCTGAGTCATGTCACCAAGTCTCCAACCATTGGATACGATAGTCACATGGACCCCAACTAAGTAGTCCGCATCTACCAACATGGCTCAGACCATAAGTTAGTGACTTCAAGGACTGATGCCACGTTTTGGTTTGGCCGCCCCTAACTTTCTTCCAATCGTCTCCAACATCAGTCAGCATTGCGCGTCGTGGTAATCGGTGTTCAGGCATACGTAACACTTGGCCCAACCATCTCAGTCGATGAAGATTCACAACCTCATCAACTGATTTACGCATCATTCCTTAATAACCTGCGTCTAACCTCACTATTACCTACCCGGTGATCCCAGCAGATGCGAGCAATATTTCCAAAACATCTGTGATCAAGTACTAGTAACTTACAAGTATCTTCTACTCCTAATGGCCATGTTTCGCAGCCGTAAAGTAAGACAGAACGAATTACCGTGGGATATACTTGTCTTTTTATTGATAGAAAGATATCTCGACTTCGCCACAGGTGACGTCGATAAGTGGACCTCCTGGTAGGAGATCAATACCCGAGAATTCAGTCGACGAGAAAGTTATTTCCATCAGTAGATCTATGATGAAGTTAAACAAAAATGGGGAAAGTGGACAGCCTTGACGGACACCACTTGAGGTTGCAAAAGTAGATGACAGTTCGCCATAAGCTCTGACTCGACTAGTAGTGTTCGAGTAAAGAGCCTTCACAAGGTTTATGTACTTCTGGGGTACGCCTTTCAATGACAGACACTGCCACAGAATCTCGCGGTCTACCGAGTCAAATGCTGCTTTTAAGTCAAGAAAGATCACCATTGTCGGACGCCGATAAGTATGCCTGTGTTCTAGAATCTGACGAATGGTAAATATGTGGCCGATGCAGCTACGACCAGGTCTGAAGCTAGCCTGAGTCTCTCGTGTTTGCAGTTCACGAGTCTTAGTTAAGCGTCTGATAATTATCGAGGCTAGTATTTTAGATACTATATTAGTTAAACTAATCCCTCTATGGTTGTCACAGGATGATTTTGACCCTTTCTTATATATTGGGACGATAAGTGATTGTGACCAGTTAGATGGAATAACGTCTAACTCCCAGATCTTAGCTAAAATATTAGTCAACCTAATCGCTAAAATTGGACCACCATCCTTAAAGACCTCTGGAGCCAATCCATCTGGGCCAGCTGCCCTTCCTCGTCTCAGATTAACTGTAGCCTTTTGGACTTCTGCTAGAGTTGGGGGACCTACTTCAATGTTCCATTCACATTGTCTGGGAATGGAGGGTAGTTGTAGAGTAGCTGAGGGTCAACTGAACTGTTCTCTAAAATGTTCCGCCCATCGTTCTTAACGTCTGGACTGGGAGTGTCGTCTTTTTCCAAAATAGTCTCACTTTCACTTGATTTATTAATCCCAGTTTCTTTTATTAGTCTGTGGAGCTGTCTCGTGTTCCCTATAGCCGCCGTCTTTTCCATCTCTTTTGCTTTCGTTGCCCACCACTGCTCACGGTCGTTCCTTAGACTTTTGCTTAACCTAGATCTGATCTGTTTACGCTCCCCATCGTGTTCAGAACCTGATGGGATGAGTTTACGAGAATCCATCAGTGTGATAGACCTTGAAGAAATCCATTGGTTCTTTGTAAACATGTGGTTTGGATCACTAATATATGTCACTGCTGTTTCCACAGCTACTTGGAAAGGAAGTGGTTGTACGGTGTTTAGATAATGTTGGTCTTCAGATGGAAATGATATCTATAGCAATCAGGTTATGTTTCTGACTGAAAGAACAATAATTCAAGCCGAGTAATAACATGATCTCATCTTATTTTGTTGTTAATACTTTACGAACAATGATAATTTTTATATTCCGTTTTAACTACTGTATTTATTATTTTAAAGGATCACACTGAATTTACATAGGAACTCTATGCTATAATACAATGGACAGGTGAGTATTAGAACAAAATTGTTAATTTCATATTTTCATAGAAACTTACCAACGGGCAAAGTATGCTTTGTAAAGTTTAACAGGACATCGTTGTGGATTTTGAGGATTTGCATCTAAACTTAATGTAGTGATAGAATCATCTGATTCACCAAACATATTACCAGGTAAATGACAAAGAACAGCTGTTTCAGAGATTTGAAATTGTGAGAATGATAATTGTCGATGAACGGTACCAAGTCGTAAACCAATATGTTTGGTATTGTAGTAAAGCATAGTGAATAATAAAATCTAAAATGTACATTGAATAAAAGAAAATAATAGAACTAATAATAATGCATAGTATTTTTAAAGTTTATTATTGACGATCATCTCCATTTTCTGGCTACGAAGTAGCAGAATGTAAATCAGTGGACTACTAGCTAGTTATGGAGCAATGACTTAGTAATTTGAGGTGTCCGACTTTCACTCACTACAGCCCAGGTTTGAATCCTACTCTATCTACTTCAATTTAGGAGACCAGGCAGTACCTTTAGCTTTTACACTTGGAGCACGAATCATACATAAATACTTGGTGAATAAATTTGATTTGATTTAATTCTGGGACGATGAGTTGTGTAACTAGGGTTGTTGTTCTAAACTATTTCATTAGGTTCATCAATGAGATTATGAACTGATTGATGATAGACCACCACTGAAAACATGGAAGCACTGGGCGGCCGTTTCGTTCTAATGTGGGACTCCTCAGCAGTGCTTTCAGGTTTTCAATGATGGTCTAACATCAATCAGTTCATGATCTCAATCAAAAACTAAATAATATCCATAACCCTATACTCGTAAGGTTTAAACGAAGCAGTTATAGATCAGTGTGTGAATTTGATAGAGGGTTTCACAATCAAACAGTTTAAACTAGAAATTAATCTGACATTCCCAATTTCTTATTTTGCATAGTTCTAACTCTCATTTATGGTTTGTGTATCTATTTTCATCTCAATTAAATTGGTCGAGAATAATGTCACTTGTTACTGTTTGCAGACTTGAACTCAAATGCTTCACAGAAAAATTTGGTTTATCCTAAGGTTACTCAAAATCTTTAAATTCATGTAAATGAATTAACAGTTTATGTACTTAGCTCCGAGTCACACTGTCTACACAGGCAGGTGGGTTAGTGTTATACTATCTGGAGACCCTAAAATGAAGTTAAGTGTGGTTTGAATCTTCAATCTATTGGTTGCTATAGTTTAGAAGCAGCATTGTTAGTGGGGACCAATAGACATGAAATCTACTATTATGATTTTCTACAAATGCATTTTATTACTTTATCTTACGTAGACGGAAAAAAATTTCCAAATTAATTGATGCCGATTGATGGTTTAGTGTTTACAACTAAAGACATAAACATCCTATGAGCAATTCTTACTGATATTTCAAAGTATATATCATATCAAGAAATAACACGTAGTTATTTATCAAGAGATTTCCCAAGTGTCTTCATATTGATATTTAAACAATCTTTACAATAAACATTCAAAATGTTTACGTACACATAAATCTTGGAATACTAATCTTTTTTAAAAATCTCTTGAACACATTAGAACCTACCTCAGCTGATTGTGAACCTAATTGTTTTGCTTCCCATAAATGTTCTTCTTCGATACGACAGATAAGAAGTCCCTCAGGACTAATACGTGGTTGGAAATTGGCTAATATTTCATTCAAAGCTCTAGATAGACTAGTGAACGCAGGATCGCCAAATAAGTTTACAGTACGACCATTTTCGTTGAGATACTCTTGAATACCTTTTAGAGTAAACATATACGACCAAAAAAACAAAGTCCCATTACTACCACTTAAAGTGAGATAAAAGTAAAAATAATAGTTGATTCATTTCAATCAACTCAAAAAACAAAGGATTTTTAAGTAGCATATTCACATTCGGCAAACTAGTTATGCTTGTCAATATTATTCTCTTTACTCCGAAAGATTGCTGACATCTAGTGGCAGCACCATGCTAGTAATGTAGAGGTTCGGCATCATGTGTTCGGGCGCAGTGATGATAAATCAATTGGTATCACCATCATGAAACATCGAATTCGATGGCTTAGACGTTGCTCACGAATGTCGTCCCAGAGAATTCCTCGTCGTGCATTAATTGCCGACGATGGGAGTGATTGGAAAAAGCGGAGTGGTGCTCAGTGTATAACATGGTGTCGTGGTATGAAAGTTGTACAGGACTGGCTTCTGTTGGTTCTTCATGACTCCATGGTTGGGGTCCTAGAGATGAAGTAACACAGTGGCTCGAGACGTTATCAGACATGGCTCAGAATAAAAGGTAGTGGCAGTCCTGCTGTAACTTTCTTCGTAAAAATGAACGTGACTTATTTAACTGAACTGCCTCTCCCATTATTACTTCACTCTCATACACTAATTTCTGTTCGTTGTTGTTCTTCTTCTATTATACGCATTTTACATTGTTCATCAACTTCACGACCTCATTGTTATCGTGTGGTGAATGTTTTACGTGTTCCCTTGAACCAATGTTTATGTGTTCAAATTTATAAGTAAAATAAAACTTAAAGATCCGTTCTATTGTTACATTACACAGTTCAAAAGGCATTAAGATTATCAAGCAACTACAGGATTACCTAATTGCACTTAAACAAAGTTATAAGATAAAATCAACATAGTAATAATAATTTTAATTTTTAAAACTCACCTAGACACAAATAGAAAATTGAATCAGCCACATAACATTCATTATTTGGTTTGCGAACTTCACGAACAAACTGACTTAATGCGATATTAAGATCGGCATCACTCATGTTTAATAAATCAGCATATAAGTGTGAATATTGTTGCATTGCAGCTGCATTAGATCTAGGTTTGTCTGTAGATGAAGAAGTTGATTTTTGCTGCACCCAGTGACGCCATGCATTGATCCCATAAGAGAATTTCAAATGGTAATTAGCATCAGATGTAAGTATGGGTGTGAGAGTTTGACGAGACCGTTTAGTTGGGGGTGGCGGTGGCAGCGATTGATCTATCTCTCTCCCACTACTGGAATGACTCACAACCGATGTCATCGATTGATGATGGTGAAATGGTGGATTATGTTCATTGGATTGTTGTGTGGCAGTTGACTCTGAAGCCCACGAGTCTGAAGATGATGACTCTTCTGGAGCAGGACGTTTAAGATTAGATACATTCCGAGATTTGCCAGGAGCATCACTAGGCTATTTTTAAAAAGAGACACTGAACAATTAAATAGCATAACTTAACAGACATATAAAGCAAACAATTGAATTTCCGAAATTTATGGTAGCTGATATTAGCATATTGAAAGCATAAGTACTTTGAGCCCCAAAATACCCTGGTACGGCCGAGGGTGGGGAGATTCAACTATCTCTTGAAATGCTCTCACATGGTCACGCATATACAGTCACTACTAGGGAAGTCCTACTCACTGTCTTCTCGCGGAGGGGATATTGTTTACGAAATTGAGAGGACAAAAAGCAGGTTAGTGGACACGGAAAGTCCACCTAGGGCAGTTGGAAAACCCTCATTCTAAACAAATGGTGCACATGGACTCCAAGATCCTGAAGGGACAAATGGCGTATAAACAGACTGTTGATTAGCCGCTACCATGAGACTGCATCACCTGACGTTGCTCCACTGCCTTCTGGATCAGACCTTTCGGTCGAAGGCTCGGAGTGTGACCCCCTAAGAAAACCATGTGCTTCGGTGTGGGCAACCGGGCAGTATCACAGCCCACACACAAATCAAGTGCCTTGTGTGGCTGCATATGTATTCGGTGCCCTTTGTACCAATATTTATGTGTTAAAATAAATAAATAAATAAATAATTTATTTGCTTTTCAGCAGATCATAAAACTTTTTACGAGAGAGGACAATTTAGGAATTGTTATATGAAATTATTAATAGGCAAATTATTTGAAACCTGTCTCAAAATCAGACGACTATTTCTGTTATTTCAGTTTTTAGAGCTATATGCCACAATGGGACAGTTGAACAAGTGATAGTGTTAGTGATAACTATCTGGTTGTCCAAATCGGTGTAGACGGAGTTGGGCACAAAGCTGAGAACTAGTGGTTGAAAACTGAATGCCCGAATCACTGGATTACAGCTCTACTACATTATTTATACAAAGTCGTTGAAAAATGTACAGTAAAGGAATCAAAAGCTTTTGATAATCAACTTTGTATGTGTTCAGAGATACTTTGTCAGTCAGCACAAACAATAAGACTTCAAATTACAATTTGCTGAGAAATGAGAATGAAGATAGGAAAAAGACTAACCTCTTCAATTGTCTCCATATCGCCTTCTTCGTCATTTGACATTGATGATGTACATGGATAATCAATCGACTGTGTTGAACGTTCTAAATCACCAACCTGTGTATCAGCTTGATTATCATTATCTCCTACCGTTACTGATGAATCATGTACATTGAATTTAACGGAAGAGTCGATGAGTGCTCTACCAGTGCTTAAGTCAACTTGTTGTCCTTGGTCTAGAATAATTCAAAATAGAAAGAATTTTTTTATTGGGAATAATGTTGAATTCTGTATCTTTGGGATATATGTCAGTATGTCTCAGTGATGCAAATCTAATAATAATTAGAAAAATTACAATACCTATTGAAAGTAGACTCGTTATTGAATGTTTAAAGAACTACTTTCTTTATTGGTCGAGAAGCAAACGGACAGTTGCTGTAAGTGGAAAAAATTTTCTTACCCCTCACGATGCTCACCTTTATTAGCATACATCATTTTAATAGTTACCTTTTTCCAATGGATATCGCTGAAAACAATTAACATCAACCTAATTATATGCCGGTGACTGGTGGTTGTTAATTGGTTAATAAAATATGATCATGAATGGCAATTTCAATTAATAGCCCATGGAGTAAAATGTGTCACTTATTAGTTATTGGGATGCTCATGTACTAGCCTATGGGCCGAAGCTGAAAAAACTTAGTGACCGGTTAAAATTTTGAAAGTGAGGTGGGTGTTCCAGTTCCATAGCAAATCACAAACTGAAACTCAAGTGGATACGGCAATGAGGTATAGCTTCACTAATGAGCAAGTTACTTATATGTATGTAAATCAGTTTCCGGTTGAAAAATTTACCACCAAGAACGCATAGATAAGTTTTTAGTGGTTTATTGAGCTCAAGAAACAAGATTACACCAAACTGCAACGAGAATTAGAATAATGAAAAGACCTGATGATACGTATCAAGACTTATTCTAATATAACCTATAAGATATAATCCTTCATATGAAGTATGAACTTATACGACTACACATATGTTTACAAGAAGCTCAAGTGAGCAATATGCAACGACTACATCACACGTTTTAATTAGTGACAATGTTGCGGCGTCACAGAAATATTGCGTAACACAGGTATAGTATACAGTAACGCATTAGAAATTTTAGGCTATTAACTTATGGTTTTGATTATCAAGGCTGTCCTAATCCCACAATTGTACTATTTCTAATTATTGTCGATTGATTTTATTTTTAAATGTAAACGTGTTCCATGTGTTTACTGCGTCATCGGCTTACTGTTTTACTCTTGTTCTTTTCTCTTCCAGATTCTCTGGCACGCTGCTCTTTACACCCCTGCAGTACAAAAAATACATTCAGTTTAGAAGTAAATCTACTAAAGGTGGAACGTAACAATACACCAACACGTGGAGTGCACAACCAGGCTCGATCATTATTTAAATGAAACGTAAATAATACCATGGACAATTAACTAATAGACAGTATTTTACCTTCAACATGCGGAGTTTCTGGAGTAGCATCGAAGACAAGTGGAATGGGAACTGGACATGGTAACGGATAGGGGATTGCATATGGCACTGGTCTTGCGTATAAACATACTGGAAAAGGTACATAGATTGGAACCGGGATAGGTATGGGTAGTACAAGTGGCATTTTTTTCAATTCATCTTCATCGGTTAAATCTAAAAGTATAAGTAAGATAGGGGATAAAGGGTAAATCAAAATTTTCAAAAAAAAGATTAAAGATAATGGAACTGCAGTGTACATCAATAACCTAGTTTATGGAATAGTAAGAAACTAGTGTTTTATGATTTATTAATAGCTAAATTTTCCAACATTTATTTGCATGTTTTTTTCTGATAACAAGTACTGAGTAGACAAAATATCTTGTTGAAACTACGTATAGGAAAGTAGTGGTATTAAAATGCTTCAAAATGAAGCGAATAATGTCATGTTAACCACTAATGTTTTAAATGATGTATAAACGGAACTATATTGAATAAAGACATGAATATAGTGGATGTTGGGAATATTTTCCGAATTATTATCATTTATAAACTTTATTACTAAATTAGCAGATAACTCAACTGTTGCATATACACACACCTCTTATTGTAAGATTTTAGTGGGACTATTGACACTCTTCCAGAGTTTTAGTGTGAAGCAGTGACCAGGAGTTCAACCGTTTCGGACAGTGGAAAATGGTCGCTTAATATCCTGGGTTGATTAAAGCTGGGCATTAACATCGACCAACGAACTCAGTCGTCTAAAGGTTGGGCGTTTGCACGCGAGACAGAAGGTCCTGGGTTCGAGCCTCGCATACGGAGTTTTGGATGCGCACTGGCGAGGACTCTCGTACGGGGACGAAGCGGATGTGCAAAGATTCCAAGTTTTCAGGGTTTATCAGACTTTGATCGTTTCGTGATTTCATTAAGAATACGGTTCGAAAAGATAGCGGGAAGGTATGCATGAAGGAATATTGGAATTCAATATTTAGAAGACCAAGAGAGGATCTGAGTCAGTGTGAACGATATTGAGTGATATCACCAGAAGTCTTCAACCACTGATCGTAATTACCGTGTGGATCCCAACTAGGTGAAATCTAGATCTACCAATACGGATCAGATCAACAGTCAGTAATGTTACGGATTGATACCACAATTTGGTTTAGCCACCCCTAGATTATAAAAAAAGCATTACCTGTGAAAAAATCGCATTTTGAAGGTATTTTTCGCAACTTATTGAAGTTACCTTGCAATAAGCACTTACCTGTTTGAGTGCCAGATTCGACAAAAGCGATGTCATCAGCAGTTGATGTCTCAGCACAACTAAAACTTGGTTGGTCAGATTTCATTAATATTTGATCATCTTCAATTTCACCTACAGGTACCATATCATCATCATCGTCGTCATCATCATCATCATCATCACTCTCAACTGGTTTTGTGTCAACAGTCTGGGTTTGCATTTCAATCCCAAGAGATGTTTTATCATTTTTGTTACTTGATTCTGTTGCAGTTAGAGAATTATCCGTTTGCACAGCAACACCATGTTGGGATAAATTCTCGTATGTTGTTGCATTCGCTTGAGTTTTACGACACATGGACAATGGTCGACATAACACAGCTTTGTTGCGCATGGCAACTGGGGCCGCCGGTTGTAAAATGACTTGTTGTTCAATGCCCAATTGTCGAACCATATCAATTGGAACAACAGGAAACTGACCCTATATCAAAGTGAAGAGGAAGATTATTACATGAAGGTTATAGTCGATCGAAATCTTGAAAAAATATAGTACGGAAATTCATGTAAATATTTATGGCTTAACTCACCCTCAAAGGCCTTCGACCTCGGGGGCGGCCTCGACCACTAGTACCAGCTATTGCGGCGGCTAAACGATAACCAGAGTCTCGATCCACACCCATGCTGCCTATTGCACCAACACCGCCTGAAACAATATTACTGGATGGTGTGCCCGAAGGTATCATTGTAGCTGCCCCTGCACCAGTTACACCTTGATTAACACCAGATATCGAGCCTCCTCCTGTCGTACCAAATACAGTAGCCGAAGACGGAGTATAACGAGTACCCAAGGATAGTAATCCTGAAGCTGCAGGTGCCAGTACAGTAGATTGCAGTCCAGCTGATTGAGCTGCAGGAGCACTTGCATTTAGAGGTTTACGGCTATGAAAGGTATAAAGTGCAAAAAATTATTGAGAAAATTTAATCAACTTATCGAATATTAAAGGAGGAATAATAACCATATGAAAAACAAGTGATAAACTTAATGGATAATTAATACCGAAAGTCGATATCACTCGAACAACACATGGAAGTAAGAGTTTACCAACGATATGCATCCAGAATACGTGTGATGTAGAACTAGCAGTACTTAAACACTTTTTGATGATTTAAATTTTATGAAGTTATGATTGAGCATGGAACTACTACGAATATGGACCAGTATTTAATTATAAGTGTGATGAATCGAATGATGAATACATTACATACAGAGAAAGGCAATACAATATAATCTTGAAATATGAACTTTTATTCATATATATTCGCTGTTTGGATCAAATGCAGTCCTAAATATTAATGGGAAGATACAAACAACCAATATATATGAATTAAAACTCACACCATTTCACAAGCTAGTGGCTATCCGAACTCAGTGGCTAAGTGGATAAAGTAATGGCATTTGAGGCGGACGATACTGGGTTCGAGTGAACATCAACTCACAGATCCAACCACATCTAGTTGATGAGTCCCGAATATGACGGGACGCGCGTCCTGAGTTCCTCTGATAACTACCATCTATCTCTGCTCAAGGTGAACTTTTATTGTTATAATTGTAAAACATTCTGGTGGAATAAAGCCACCAAGGAACGGGTCACACAAAGTAAAATGACAGCAATCTAACGAAATATGGAAAAGACCACAGAATCAATCAAGGTAGATTTATTTCAGTTACACAGCATCTTACCCATATGGTGGAATACAGTAAGAAACTAAACGGATAACCACTAGTTTATATTTTGAGCCATGGATTTATAACATCTCAAGTAACTAAGAGTTGCACGGTCTGCAGAGTCTACCAAATGACTAACAGCTTTATGTCGTTATGATTTATTTCATAGCACCGTTTTATAAACTGATCATTTCTCCATTTTTTCTATCCACTATCAACTTTGACAAATAATACAAGCTACTGGAACGGTATTCGTTAAACATGTCGAGTTCACCGAAAATATTGACAAATGAATTATCCTTTACTGAAATCTGAATACATAACACTTGAAGTTTTCTTGGGCATATTGAATTTAACTGGATTTTTCAGTGGTGAAAGCGTCATTCAAAAGACTTGAAAGATGCTGAACTATTTTCGTGAAACACATTATGTTAGATTTTAATCATATGAATGTTCTAATATTGCTGAAATCAATTTATTAAAATCAACCATAAAAAACAGAACCTGATATGTGTTAGCCTAAGTTTTTATACAACATCACGGCGAGATGAACTTAGCAGGATGAATTACAGAAGAATTGAAATAGTAGTGATCTGAACGACTAGATATCAGAGAATACAGTTTGAACATAGATTAAAGTAGCAAAAAGCACGAAATAATATTGAATATCATAACTAACATGAAGATAAAGTGAACGGACCTGAGCCTGTATGAAGAACTTCACCTAGTTTTAAGGGTTGCTGCCGGTCCCGATCTCAGGCAAAGGAGGCCGGAACATGGGGTTAGCAAACCTATTTCGTAGAACGGAAACTTGCTAAAAAAGAATGCTTTGCGATCAGTCCTAGAAAGTATAACCCAACGTCTCCAAAACACTGATCACAGTTATCGCGCTGATCTCAACCACGTAGTCTGAATCTACCAACGCGGCAAAAACAATTAATGACTTATCACGATTTCGATTTAGTTACTAGTATCTGGAAAAGCGAAACACTCGTTTCTGTAAAAGAATCTCGTCTTGTCTTTTAATCATTAGAAAATTTGAAACTCAACAACAAAAGGGATATAACTTACATCGTTCTTAATTCTTTTCAAATAACCTAATCTAAATTAAGCTTGAACATGAAACATCGATATTACCATAAATTTCATGAAACACAAGGAATGAACTAGTGGGATGCAAGATCTAATGAACTAACATAGATACTAATTTACTTTAAAATTTTATAAACTAACATCCACTGACTTTCAATCTCAACCGTTTATTACGGAATACTCTCACGTTAAGAAATTAGGAATTTGCGAGGATTTGAGTTCGGGACAGTTAATGAATTGGATGAATATATAAACATTAGCATTGTTAAGCTATATTACCGTTGTAAATATTATTGGAAAAATAACTAACCTGGTGATGCTACGTGATCCACGATTTGCATTGAGTGAAACCCAACGAGCATCATTACTACTCAAAGTGAAGCCTCCTCTGCCAACATTCGACTAAAAGATAAAATAGATTAGAGAGATAGTTTATGAATGGCAAGTATGGATTTACTCAAGCACACTAACAAAAAAGGTGACATTATTTGAAAGTCAGTCAACGAGTAAGCCAAAATATTGTAGGCAACTTAAAGTTGTACGAATGATTGCGGTGTGATGAGAAATGAGGTCAGTTTTAGTTGGACTGTTATTTCACTTAAATAAATAACAATTCAGGGATTCTTGTTTCATCCTAAAAAAGAAATCATAAGAAATGTAAGTCTTGATTCTATACGACGTCACGTTGTAGGGTAATGTTTCTTATGAAGAGAATTAAACTCCACGAAAAAAAGATTGCTTAACCAGATATATTTTTGACTATCTACTCAACTTTGTACGTATAGTGAAATGTTAATCTATATGACAAAAGCTAGTGAGAAATCACCAATGGTCCACAAATCTTAACAAACGTGATGAGTGAGCGATTTTATTTAGCACTCTTCAATAATATGCCTTCCGCTAATAGTTTCACTTTAGGATTTCCACAGACTTGACATCACTGCTGTGGACCATAATGAAGGGAAAAACATAGAACAATAGCATTTAAATTGTTAGATTGTATGGTGAACATTTGTTATGAAATATTCATATATGCACATCATTTAAAATAGATACTAACAGAGGGGTTAAGGAAAACCGAACAATGAACACCGCTTATTTTGGTATTTCGAAGTGAGAGCTTCGTGTATATGTGAACGACATACACTTCATAGGGTCATGGCAAAGAGATGTAAATATTCATTGATTTTTCGTGAAGTGCATCATCATCACTGTTTATTTATTCAACACAACTCATAAGCACACCAGTGTGGTTGACTATTGTACATTTTATATCTATAATTTCAGAATTCATATTCAGTTAGACGGTCAAAGTTTCCCTCCTGAGACCTACTTAGACGAGGTTTTTTAATCAGATCCTCTGTCAAAACACTTATAATCCAGGATATTTCCTCAATCTGAGGAATCTGAGAGAAAATCTGATTCATGATGGTTGTGACATTCTAGACCTGTGTATCATCATATATTTAAGGGTGGTCACGCACAATATTCTTATTATGTGAACTTTATCTTTTTAACCTCATTCATGGAACAGAACCGACCCATTGTATTTTCGGAAACATCGTTCAGCCAGTCATTATCAACGTGGAGCCTGGGATATTGTGTATTGACCTAAATTGAGGGAATGTAGCATAACTAAAGTTACCGGTGACCCGTAGTTCTCCTGCTTTTGTTGAATCTCCGTAACAATTAGACTTTATCCTCCAACCTCACATTTAATGCTCTTAGTCTTGCAGCTATCCAACTAACCGTCTTGGAAGAAAAGGACTGAAAGAAGCGAGTGTTTCGGACAACACAGTTTGGTTTGTAACGATTCTCAAGCCTAACTCCCGCACCAAAATGGAGGTCGCAGTCAGACTCCTTTACTAACACATGCTGTTATTTTCAGATTAACGAAGCCCCCAAATGCCCTGGTATGGCCGAGAGTGGGGAGAGTCCACTCTCCCACTCGAAATGCTCTCACATGGCCACGCGTATATAGCCTCTGCCAGGAAAGTCCTACTCATTGCCTTCTCGTATCGGGGGTCTTGTTTACAAAATTGAGAGGACGAACAGCGAATGTCTGGCGCTTTAACCGGATTCCAAACCAATGGTGCACATGGGCTCCAGTATCCTGCGGAAACAAATGGCGTACGAACGGATTGCTGTTCACCGGCTTCCGTGGGACTGCATTTCCTTACGATGCTCCACTGCCTTGTGCGTCAGACCTTTAGGTCAAAGGCTCGGGGTGTGGCCACCTAAGAAAACCACCTGCTTCGGTTTGGGCACCCGGGCAGTATCACAGCCCTCACACATATCGAATGAGATTTGTGTGGCGCATATGTATTTGGTGCCTCCTTGTACCAATATCTATGTGTTAAAATAAATAAATAAATAAAATTTCAAAACCGTAGAATAGTGCAATTGAAAGAAAAAAGTTAAAGGATAGATAATGTATATTAGGTTTGTGAGCACAAATATGGTGAGGAATGAGGTCTTAAATAAACTAACCTTGTAACCAGTATGCTGGCTTAAGTGTTGGGCTAATTCGGGTTTCAGTAAACTCTTTCCACCCTGAACACTGCCTAACTGGATTTGACCACCACTTGCATCTTGGATAACGTATGCGCCAGCTTGATCTATTGGTAATTCAACGAGTTGTCCTAAACTGGGATCTATGGCAGGTATGTTGGTGCTGAAAAAGTAATTAATATACAGCTCTGCAACATGTACGCAGCAAACATACCATCAAAATTATTTGTAACGGGGTGTATTAAATGCTTGAGTCTTAAATACACAATATGCTTTAATGTAGACTAGAAAGCACTTCGTGACATTTAAGCATATCACAGAAAATAACAACTTACAATCGGGAAGCTCAGTATACATCTTCTAATACTACGTCCTACATGCGATTTTTGTTAAGGTCCTGGAAATATTTCTTATTTTCGAGTTTTTGCGTCAATCCTCAGGTGATTGTCTTTTAAAGTGATCCTTAGCATCTGTCACCTATCTACGTTTAAAGGAGACATTTAGTTGTAAATTATTTGGATTCAGTAAGGTGTGTAAATGTGGTCACATTGAAACATAGTTACATTTCGAACATTTGCTCCAGAGCGTAGCGAGACAAAGTACTTAAAGCAAGATGTCTCTGTGAAGGTATTTAACAACATGATTTTGGAAGATCCAGAATACCAAGTGAACTGTAGACTACATGACTACCGGTAGAACAATATAAACAACTAGTGGAGAAATGTGGAAATAACAAAAAACTAGAACTATGAAAAGGAATCTTTGCGTTTAATCGGTCAGGTGAAGATAATTTGTAGTTTTCCGTAAGGTAAACAAGATAACTGAGTAAAGATATTAGTGTAAATAAGCAGCACTCAACATTACTTGTCAAGTTAAACTGAAAGAACTTTTTAGGGTTAGTATGTATTAACACATAATTAATACTGTCCATCTTATGTGAAACTATATGATATAAATAATATTCAGTGGTTTGGATATGACACAGGTTTGCCAGTTTGTCTGATCTAACAGTGAAGGATGAACGTTTAGTCACTATGGTTATCGAATGTTACTGAACCAAGATACAGTTCTAGTGCTTACTTCGGCGTTTTATTGAAATGGAAACTATTGCATCAATGGGATAACTTGTTTTATGTGAGATGATAATCGTCAGGGGGATGTGAACGTTAGTCTGGTGTTTGTTGACATACAAACCAGCACTTCTGAGTTTAAGAAATAATGATTCGAAAATTCAGACCTGGGTAGTGATCAGAGACGACATCATCAAGCTATTTAAAATTCTTGCTGTGCTAATGCGGTATGGCGACTTGGACCGATGCATATATGTGCCTGGTCTTACGTTGTAGCTGACTGACTGCTATTTAAAACACCGGGTACATAAGCCTTTTAGAGCTGAGATATCTTTTAAGAAGCCTCTCCAGTCTTCTGTAAACAAGCATTAAAGCCTATATTCTACGGAATTATATGCAACATATATGTCTATTCCTTTATTATTTATTTTATTTAGTACATGTAATGGTACAAATGAGTACCAAAATAAGTATGCACCACACAAATAAGGAAATAGGAATGTGAAGAGATGGAGGATGAGTACAGCCGAAAATGAATAGTAAGTGTGAAAGGAAATTAACTCCACCTGTAACTCTTCTAGGGTTACTGCCGATCCCAAGCCCGGATAAAGAAGGGTTAGGTGTGGGGCCGGCAACCCCACACCGTAGAAAGCAACCTTGCCGAAAAAACACCGACCAGAATGAAGAGAAATTACAACAGAATATTCACTGGCTTCTGAGCGGTGTTCTATAGAATCTCATGACATTGCGTTGTACTCTAGCTACTCAACTACGGGGTTGAAATGGATTGATCGATATCAATCCTGTACAGATCACTTTTAGACCATGGTGCTATTCTAAACTGATAAACTCTCCACTTTTACGATGTCCCAGAGTCGGTGATTAGTGCACGAAATGAAAGCCGCTGCGACGACTTTGGCGAGACAGCTCCAAGTTACCAAGACCAATATTTTAAGATGGTGACACCAACCAAATTATCATCAGTGTACCCAAACACATTGTTTAGCCTCCCAATGCCCTGGTATGGCCGAGAGTGGGGAGAGTCCACTCTCCCACTCGAAATGCTCTCACATGGCCACGCGTATACAGCCTCTGCCAAGGAAGTCCTACTCACTGCCTTCTCGTATCGGGGGTCTTGTTTACAAAATTGAGAGGACGAACAGCGAATGTCTGGCGCTTTAACCGGATTCCAAACCAATGGTGCACATGGGCTCCAGTATCCTGCGGAAACAAATGGCGTACGAACGGATTGCTGTTCACCGGCTACCATGGGACTACATCTCACGATACTTCGCTGCCTTGTGCGTCAGACCTTTAGGTCAAAGGCTCGGGGAGTGGCCCCCTAAGAAAACTACCTGCTTCGGTCTGAGCACCCGGGCAGTATCACAGCCCATACACAAATAAAATTAAAATGACGATTTAGCCACAGAATTACTAACATAATGATGTCACCGCATGTCAGCAATCGCTTGAAGATAATACTGGTCGAACAGAGCAATGAAACATACTCAACTCAAAAAGACCAGGATTCATAAATGATACTCGGTAGCTATGAAGAAACTCCCATCGTCACATTATTCAGTGTTTTTGACAAAAGCTAAGAGTGGTGAGATTAGGTAGAGTAATTGTATATCTAAAAACGTGAAACGAAGACAACTTCAGGGTATTTCCAATAAGGCCATGATATTAGCACCATGAAGTCCTGTGATCAGTATTCAAAAACATTCATTCTGAATCATTTTCTGACAATTAAGGACTAAATGACTGAATTTTAGGTAACAAGTTATAAAACTTATGCATTTCGTCAAGAATTTTAATGACAATATGGTTTCGCTCATGTAATTTCGTGAACTAAAATACGTGGTCTACGCAAACAAACAGTGCATGATGCCTGGCCACATTCTAAGTTTAAGTTGGGAAGATTGAATAAGTGGGAAATATGGTTACGTCTAAGCTGACTGGTTAGCATGATAAATTAAGTCAGGGAACTACAATTCGATTCATTTAGCAAAAGCTTATAATGTGGGGTTAGTTACAAACAACGTGCAACCTAGTACGAACGTACATCAATTCAAACTGCTACAACTAAAATTAGCACAAACGACAAGTTACTAGGATTGAAGGTGGAAGGGTTGAGCTGATGGACGTAATGAAAAGGCTGATGTAAGAAATTAAGTCCGGAAATAATGAATTGGTCTAAATGTAAATGCTATAATAAATATTACGATCTAGGTTCATTTCCATTGCTTGAAATAAACTACAACAATATTCAAGATTACTGTGTTTTTAACATAGGACAGGTCACTAGATCAGCCAACCCAACCAACATGGGATACGGGTTAAATGAAAAACAATAACATTCACACCTAATTTAAAACTGAATGTTTATGAAGCTTTGAAAAGTGAAGACATTTGTAAAATAAATTCATGATTCCACCCGAATCCAGAAACCTGTGATGAATAGACGGCAATGGAGATTAGAATAAAATTTGAAGCTTTAAAACTAGCTTAATTGTGGGAACCTTACTATTTATTTTTAAATATCTAGGGCTCTTAAATGATAAAGAAGTTGGCAAAGCTGGTATGCTTCCTATGACTACTTGTTCAGGCATTTAACTGCCAATGATTCCACTGATAAGCCTAGTTTGACCGTATGATATATTTAATACATAACTTATTAAGTTGAGTAGTGACAAAATGATTACGTTTTCGACTGAACAGTGAGATTTCTGACGACTTTTCATGCTAAGATGTGTGATTATTTGAATAATAACAAAATAATGACATATAAATACCAAAAACACAATCTCAAGCAAAATACTTACGCATATGCTGTCATGACTAATGACCCTCACCTGCCCTTAATATCGAATAAGTGACACAAAAGGAGCACAACACAACAAGGACGACCCAGTACAAATCACAAATATGTGAAGATTCTTGAGCCAAAAGTACGATTTGATCAAGTAAACCAGGAAATATGAAGCTTCATGGGACTATTAGTAACAAAACCTATTTCTTCTTAAGACAATGGACACCGTTTGTGTTTGAATGCATCAAACATCTAGACCGGATACTTTTCAATGCTATAAGAATATAAATTGGTGTAGTTAAACAAATTTACGAGATAATCAAAAACTTCTCACGGATAGATTTGAGAGTGAAGTACTGTATAAATCAAAATCTACAAGCAAACTGTTTGGGTTGTATTGCTCTTCATCATCTTTCTAAGCTGAATATGTTCTGTTTTCCATTTCATATCAAAGGTAGATGAATTCTTTTCAGACGTAAGGCTGAAATGCCCGTGAATAAGAAACCATATAAACTTGGAATGGTGTATTGTATATAATGAAGTGATATAAACAGAAGATTGAGGTTGTTTAGTTGGCTGTTAAGGAAATAGAAGTAGCACATCACCTGAAACATGAAATAATTAAGGCGAAATGGTAATTTAAAGATGTGGTTTTTTGGTTATTGAAGAACAGAGAGTTTGATATAAATCAAAAAACTAATTAACGGACGCGTTTCCTGAGAAATCATTTCCGTAAACTCTGAAAGTTTCCCATAACATTTTAGCCAGTTAGTTGAAAACTAAAACGATAATAGCTGTTCTAGCGGTAAGTAAATGCTCAGCGTAAATAGTTCTGCAGGTCTTCAACATTGATATTGACCTCGTACGTTGTAATGGACACATCCTAGCCGAAAGCGCTAGGTCACACTTTTGCATCTGTTCACGAGTGGGTGCTTCGTGCTATCCATTTCTTTCAGCTACTAGCCAGCTTATATCAAACGTTCCTCAACACATCGACAACCTTTTAAATATATCTTCGACTTATCCATTCATGACTTCTGATAGTATACTTTTACTGTGGAGCTGTAACGGACAAAGGCATTGTCAAATTGAATATCTGTGACATATTCATTGGTGAGCTCGACCTGACCCGGTACACTTATAGCGGTGAATAAATCCCTAAAATAAATGGCTCTGTAAGTTTTCGATATTGGATGCTGACCACATGTTTTAGTGGACTCATCTAGCTGAAGGCGCTCGGTCAGGCATCCACACCAGATCACGTGTGGTAACGCCGTGCTCAACATCTACAGCAATCGCTAGCCAGATTAGATCAGAGAATTCCGATATATTGGTAATCGCCAAATACACTCTTCCGATCTCCTCGACTCTGTCTCTTGATTTCTCTGGGTGGGTACAAATTATATTAGGTGTTGTGAGTCCGTCCCTTTTTGGGATTTATATATACTATTACCTTATTTTTTATTTTTTTATACATTGTGATATTTTTCCTCGTGTTTTAAGATATCTATATATTATTCCCTCGTATTCTCGTACCTAATATTTCCCCATGACCGAACAGACTCCTAAAGTATTTATGATTAAAACCATGTCCCCACCCTCGTTCCAACTCATGCCTTTCTGGCCCGACAATATCGAAGCCTGGTTCTGTTACGCAGAAGCCAACTTCCACGAGCACGGCGTGAACGACACACGTGCACAGTTCCTCGCAGTAGTCAGAGCACTACCACGGGAATTCAACAGGTACGTAACATCTAGTATGTTTACTATTGATGTTTCTGGACCTTACGAAACCTTAAAACGTTCGATTCTTAAACGAGGAGACCTAACCGATCGACAAAGGTTAGATCAACTCTTTAATAACATAGACCTGCAGCACGGTTCTGCGACCGACATGTTGCAACGGACGAGAGAGGTTATAGGCCCAAGAACTTTCGACGAAGGTCTATTCAAACAACTCTTCTTGTCTAAACTTCCCCAACAGGTGCAAGCGGTTCTGGTCTCGTTTCAGGACAACGCCTTAGATGAACTGGCTGCACCTGCCGACCGCATTTCAGAAATCATACGGCCGTCAAATAGCCCATGGGCATCTCCGTTGCACATGGTCCCTAAAAAGGACAGCAACGATTGGCGTCCAGCTGGTGACTAGGTACTTAAAGTACCACTTTTCGATTTTCATTTTTACATATCGCTTTATTATTTTCGCATTATCCGAGTTTTTATCCATTTACATATTTCATGCTTATTGTGACAAAACGGATACCTAAACTGTTGAAGATTAAGACTCTTACACACCCACCTTTCTACTCGTACCATATTGGCTCGATAATATCGAGGTATAACTGCCACACAAAGGCTGTCTTCCATGAGCATGGCCAAATAGACCCACGTGCCCATATTCTAAGAATAGTTAAGGCACTGGCGCGCGATTTTAACAAGTACGTCACACCTAGTATGTTTCCTACTGAAGTTTCATAACCTTAATAGACTATTGAAAGGTTCGACGGTAAACAATTAGACCTAACCGATCGACAAAAGTTAGACCAACTGTTTCACAAGATCAAATCGCAACGCAGCTTAGCAACAGAATTGTTGCTACATATGAGGGAGGTCATTGGTAAACGGACCTTTGACTAGTGCAACTTTGGACAGCTCTTCTTGTGTAAGCTTCCCAAAACAAAGGCAGGTGATTCTCGTATCGCTCTGAAATAATGCCACAGACAAACTAGCTTTGTCTGCTGTACAGATTCCGAAGATCACCAGAACACCCAGAAATGAGGTTCATTCTGTAAAAGAAAAGCATCGAACCACACGAAACGAAAGTGCGTCGTTTCGTATGTTTCATGTCAGGGTATATTCTGATTAGCGTTTTTTAACAAGGTTGTTTTCTAATGAATGGAGTTGTCAAACACGCACCCAACACTCCTTCACCTGGAATTGAAACTAGCAGTAGCCATGGAAGAGCGACATGCGGATTGACATAGCAAGGACAGCATTACTACAGCTCGATAATATAAGGAACTCAAAACAACTGTCAACCAATATGAAAGTCAGAATCTTCAATACGAACGTCAAGTCAGTTTACTGTACAGAGAGAAAACTTTAAGAACGAATACAACCATTATCAAAAATGTACAGGTATTGATAAACAATATTGCGTAGACAATATTGTCTACGCAAGATACTCAATGTCCGTTGACCGGATGCCATCAGCAACAGCCTACTGTGGGAGAGAACAAACCAACTTCAGACTGAGGAAGGGATTAGGGAATGTTGAAAGTGGATAGGATACACATTGAAGAAATCACTGAACTACATGGTGAGGTGAGCACTAAATTGAACTCCTGAAGGGAGAAGGAAAAGTGGAAAAACAAGGGACACATTGCGTCGCGAATTGGAGGCAAACATCAAAGGAATAAGTGGCAACTGGAAACAACTAGGAAGGGTTGCTCAAGACAGAGCTGGTCGGAGAAAGGAGGTGAGCGGCCTATGCTCCTTCACTGGGATCAACGGGCGTGAGTATGTCCTCGTATAGTACAAAGCGGTCGTCAATATTTACTTAAGCTATCTTCTCTTGGTCATTTGTTTGAATCTACAATTTTCAAACGATCTTCACTAAATGCTATGATGACCTTGGCAACATAAAATTTTACTTGTGTCAAAACAGTTATAAATTTCCATAATGAATTATAAATAAGTGAGGGTTGGAAGCTAGAGTTTGGAATCATAACATGGCTTCTTTAACACAAACCAACATCAACTATAAGGCCAAAATATATTGGCGGCTAGGGATAAACTCAAGTTGTCAAGTCATCTGAGCAGATCGTTGCCAGTAAATATGATCGTTTTCTTTCATTTAATCACTCAGTTGTGGATATTTGGAGACAGTTTCTATCACAGAGTTAATTGACGATATGACTTTTGCTACGTTGCAACTTTTTTCCCATCACGAGTGTGTGCATCGCACTTGGCGCGTCCATAGAATAATGCAGTGGCATTTCTGTCGTAAAACATTTCATATTTTCCACGTAGGTCCGTGAAATTGACAGAGAACGAGACACACCCTTCATCATGGACCACGATAGCGGAAAACGATTATTCACGACTCATTTATGGTTGGTTGTCAAGTACAAGGTCAAGATTAAGAATATGGATTTTATGTTCATGTCTGTAATTAAACGCAATTTCGCTTCGAAATTTTGTCAGTAGAATTAGCGACCAATCAGAATAGAGCATTAATTATCATTTCCTCCATCTCTGTGAACAACAGCGGCTCGTTTGCTCAGTTCTGTGTTTTTCCAACGTTCTTCTTGTGTAGCTACGTAATATGAAGTTTGGATGTAATGAAATTCCGCAAGTTACGTAATGCTCAGAGAGTTCGTGCTAATTTCTACGGTTTCGTTATTCCTCCTCGACTTATGATGTTGCTACTCAGGTCAGTGTATCACACACTTAACTTTTTCGAGTTGTGACGCTCTGGCATACTAACCGAAGTGCGTGAGCAGTTTGATTTACCAAACTGCTCTGCTTCACTAAAGGCTTCAAGCACTAAGCTGAATTAAACGATAACCAAGAATATCAAACTAAGCAGGTGTCATAATTTTTTTTCATTTGCACATACATGTTGCTCAAATTAAATTAATGTAGATAATTAGGCATATAAACCAAAAACACGATATATAGTCCAATAAAACTTACCGAATATAGAACAAACGATTTCGTTTTGAGCCTGAAGCCAACAGTTTAGAGCACAATAAACCTTTCTCCAATAACACTACTCATTGAAGGTCTACTTTGAAAAACAACCATTTGACTAGGCTCACTATGACTTAGAATAACATTACAGAATGCAATGGATGTCCGGTGTAACACAGTCAGATGTGGCAAACAAAAGTCACAGCCAGAGCAAAATTCACAGCATAATCTAGCTTTTTCAACCAAAAAACATACTGTGACACATAAAGTGACTACATGAGCGTCAACATGACCATTATTCCTGTTTGCAATACATTAAGTTGAAGTGAGGACGTTTTGTATAATCCCACCCATCTTCTACAGTATTGAAGGAGGATCTGATTCGACTTCAAAGTTGGGCAGATGATAACGGACTTACCTTTAACACTTCGAAGTCCAAAGTAGTCCATCTACGACATGTCGCAGACTACAGTTACAACTTAGGAAACTCCTCTCTAGTAGTATTCCGAGCTGAAAAAGATTTAGGCGTCCTGGTGCCCTACGATTTAAAGTCTTACGC